AATGTTTCTATGCATGTGTATATATATATATATATATATGTAATTTGTTATATCTATCATGTTTATGATTGGTGAGGTGAGGGAATTAAAGGCAAATTGTAAGTGTTGTGATTGCCGTTGTGTATAACGTCACTGTAAGTTTTATCACGTTATTATGTTGATATATTTGAGATTTGAGTTTTTGGTTTTGCCCAAAAAGCATTTATATAATTTTACATTATATTTTCCTTATAGTTTGATACTATTTTTTCCAACACTATATGCACCAATTAGTATATATACTAGTGTATCAACTAGTATTATGATATTATTATTGATCACATTTATTATACAAGTTATAAATATCAAAAACTATAATCTGTTAGTATACTAGTGCGTACATTAATTAGTACATGTAGTATTATTCTTTTAAAAAGTATCTAAAAAGGTCAAATTATTAACTTAGTAAAGTTTGGTTTTATAACATCACTTTTTAGTTTAAAAATTAAAAAGCTACTAAAAAAAATTAAAAAGTCAATAATTTATACAAAAAATTAAAGATTTCATTTTCTCTATACTTTTTACACATCTTTTTATAAAAAAATCAAAAAATAATCTCAAATATACTAATTTTTTAATCTCTTATTTTAGTTTAAAAAATTAAAAAATTATTAAAATAACCTGTTACTAAACAAAACCTTACATCACTCTTTTATTTTTTACTCATCTTTTTGTAATAAACAAAAAAAAATTATTTTTTAATTTATTTTATTTTATTTTATTTTATTTTTGCACTTCCCAAAACAATCCCAAATATTGAGGTGGGTGTTAAATTTTCTTTTAACCCCAACCAAACCTGGTACACGTGGTACACAATTTGTGGGTAGAGTGCAGGGTTTGAAAGGTCAATAGTCGTAGGGAAGAAAAACCAGAGTTGTTTGAGTTTTGCAACTTCATTGTCATCTCTCTCTCTCTCTCTCTCTCTCTATATATATATATAAACTGCAAATAATAATCATCAATAATATATCTATCCATGAATATATAGATAGACAAAACAATCGCATACCCTCCATTGGCTCTCCCATTCCTTTGGATTTTGCGATGAAAACTTCAAAGCTGTAGGTTTTAGAAAAGGAAAATCGGATTGACAATTTTCCCGAGAAAGTGAGAAGTGAAGGAAAGAGGAGAGGAAAGGAGAGGGGTGAAGAAGAAGATGTGGGGATTTGGGGGAAGGTATTATTGGGGGAGAAGAGAAGGTGGGAAAGTGGAAGGAATAGTGGTGGTGTTCGCGTGGATGTCGAGTCAAGAGAGGCATTTGAACAACTATGTCCAGCTCTACTCATCTCTCGGCTGGAATTCCCTTGTCTGCCATTCCCAATTCCTCAATCAGTGAGTTCAATTTCCTCTCAATTCTCTACTTTCTCCTTTCGATTCTCTTTGTATTGTTTATATCAATGATTTTTGTTGTTTATAATTGTTTCAGTGTTTTCTTTTGAACGCCTTGTTGGGTACGATTGAGTTTGACTTCGAATGGGGGGATATTGTGTGTGCGTGCTTGTGTGTGATTTTAATAATAATTTTTAATTATGGGTTTTGGGATTTGTGAATATTGGGCTTTTGATGTTGTGGGCATCCAGAAATGTGATTGGAGAGGATGACATGTTGATAGTTAGCATCATGCTGAGGAAAGGATGGGTCTCAGACCCATGATCATTAGAGAGGATTTTTACTGGGACACTAATGACAAAGGATGGGTCTCAGACCCATGATCATTTTACATGTAAAATCGGAGACAAAGTGTCCCCTACTATTCCAAGGTCACACCATGTGTGCTATAGGTCAGAGGGTATGGTTTGTACCTTGGTAACTCCCGGAACAAAAACAATATTAGCTAAAAGAGCATTTGTCACAAGCACCATTTTGACTTTTGACTATCGTTACCAGACAAGACAAGATGGGAAAAGACTGGGAAGGGAATATTTGAGTACAAATTGTATGATAGAATAGAGGAAAAGGAAGGAAAGGGAAAGGGAGAAAAATAAGAAAATAGTAATAAGGGAATTTAGGATAATTTCTCATTACATGGGCTCTTGATGGTTTTTGCGTATGGTGATATGTCCTGTGTAATGAGTGAATGTTCCTCTCTTCAATAAGTCATGGCTTTAAGACTGTGAGTCATCAATTAAGTGCTGAGGCTGTTGAGAATCGTAGTTGTGGTGGTCAGCGAAGACACTTGATGGAACAAATAACCTAGGAATGAGAACTAATTATGCCCTCAGAATGCCATCAATCCAATGCCTCAATGCATAGCTGGAAGTACCATAATTGGGAGCTTGGTTCCTGGTTGCTGGGTAGGTATATTGTTTTGTAATACAAGATGATATGTAGAAGCAGCTGTTTCCATAGTCTGTCAAAATGGGAGTTACCAGTGGTTGCTGCTATGTGCAAAGTCTTGCTATCACGTACTCCATTATCAAGATGGAAGAAAAATGGTGTTCCTTTGTTTTTGTACCTCATGGAATTCTAGACATGGTTGCTAGTGTTTGAAGTGTGCTCAAATCCGTAGATAATGGCATTAATATTTTGCGTAAGAAACAAATACCTTAAGAAAGCTGTGGAAGATGATAAATGTTACTCCCTTCGTCCCAAAATAATGGTCCTTTCTAGGGAATCCAACTTTTTTTGGTAGTACATTATTGTACTTTAAAAAAAATAATTTTCCAAAATTATCCTTTGTTAGTATATTTTTTGGGAATATTGATGTCATAATTGTACTTTTTATGTTAATGAATTTAAAAGAAGGGCAAGATAGAAAATTTATATTATTTTTGTACTTGATTTTTGAAAAGAGACTAATATTTTTGGACAACAAAAAATGGAATAAGGGACTAATATTTTGGGATGGAAGGAGTATGTGTTTGTAACTTCAATGCAAGGGCCAAAATGGAATTGCCAGCTGTGGAAGATGATAAATGTTGTAAATATTCTACTGATGAGGATGTTATACAAATGGACAGACGGTATGTGTCCAATGCTAGCACATTGGACAAAAGGGAAGCATCGGCCATGTGAGATCAGGAAAACTGTGAAGAATGTGATGATGAAAGATGCCATACCTATACACAATGCATCAGAATCAGCTAATGAGGAATTTTTTGATAAAAAAGTATTAATCCTGAAGTTGAATATCAGATTTTTCTTTATATATTGACATTTTTTTTTTTGATAAATAAATAAACTCTATTAGAAAAGCATCAAGACGATGCAACAAATACACCAATCCACTCAAGGTCCTCCAACTCTACCTAAGTAAATCCTCCACAAAATCTACAAAAACTAACACATTGGGATCAACTAAGCCTGTAACCCAACTATGCAACACCAACAAAAGTCTACTCTGTAACCAAGAAACTGAGCGACACACATCATGAAAGACACGCCTATTACGCTCCAACCAAATCAGCCAAAGCAGACAATGGGCAGCAAGAGCCCAAGCCTTCCGACGCCGCTTCCCAACCCTAGGCCCTCCCCAACTCTGAAGAACAACGAGCACAGACTCTGGTTGCACCCACACTATACCAAACAAAGTAACTATGAAGCTCCACTACCGATACGTGACCGGACAATGAAGAAGCAAGTGATTCACTATTTCCGCATCCCCACAGCACATGCAACACCAATTAACCAAAATATGCCGCCGACAAATGAGATTATCAATAGTCAAAATGCGACCCAAAGCTGCTGTCCACACAAAAAACCCGACCTTAGAAGGTGATCCAATACCCTAGATACACTTCCAAAGAAAGACACCATCAACACCTCTCACTAGCGCATTATAAAACAATGAAACTGAGAAAACCCCCTTAGATCTTGGACAATCCCACACCAAAGGATCCATCGTAACCCCTTCATACTTCACCCTATGCAAAAACCCCAACAGATCCACCAACTGATCCATCTCTCAATCCTGAACATCATGACGAAGATAAACATTCCAAACCACCGACTGACCTTGTCTATCCCCAACCGAAGCAACCGTCTCCTCCCTATCAGCAGCAATGGCAAAAATCAAAGGAAACATGTTAGCCAAAGACACTGCACCACACCACTTGTCAAGCTAAAAGCGAACCCTATCCCCCACCCCCACCTGAAACCGGGCCAGACCCCAAAACTCCTCCCACCCTTTCCAAATCCCCTTCCACAAACCCCGACCATGAGAATGACCCACCTTTTCCGAGCACCACTCCCCCCTATCCAAACCATACTTTACCACCACCACCCATGGTTTTAAAAACCGGACCGGACCGGCCGGTTCAACCGGTTGAACCGGTAACCGGATGGGGTTCCGGTCCGGTCAGCCCCCTTAAACCGGCCAATTGTAAAAACCGGCCTATTTATTGAAAACCGGTGAACCCACCGGTTAAACCGGTGAACCGGTCGGCCCGGTCACGGGTTGATCGAACCGGACCGGTTACAATTTTTTTTTTAAAAAAATTTTCTTTGTTTTTTTTTTTTATTTTCTTTCTTTCTTTCTTTCTTATTATATATATATATATATATATAATATAAGAATATAAGAAAATTTTAATTTGAAACTCTTTTTTAAGGGTCTCCTCTTGTGAGGAATCCCATTAAGAGTTTGATGAAATTATTGTGAAAGTCTTCACCTATTTATAAGAAAAAAACTCTTTCAAAAAAACTCAAGAAATCCATGTGGGATTCAATCAAATGTATTGGAGGGAATATTGAAATTTTGATATCTCTCCAAAATTTTTGCTTTCCTTTCAATCAAATTATTTGAATTAAAATCATATGGAGGGAATATTAAATATTTGATTTCATCTTCCAAAATTGAAATTAATAATATTTTAAAATATATTATTATATTTTTCAGTAAAAAAAATATTAGGACAAATATTTAAGATAATTTAATATTTTTAATATTTTTAATTTTTAATTTTATTACTTATATTTTTATTTAAATATAATTTTAATATATTTATTACGTCACGGTTTGATTCCAGTTCAACCCGACGGTTGAACCGGTGACCCGTCCACCCGATGCCTTTTCCGGTTCGTTCACTGGTCCGGTTTTTAAAACATTGCCACCACCTTCCTCCACAATCTCTCCCTCTCCTCCATAAAACGCCACAACCACTTCCCTAAAAGAGCCCAATTAAATACAACCAACCTCTGAACTCTCAAACCTCCTCCCGCCTTGGGCCTACCAACAATATCCCAAGCCACCAAGTGATAATGAAAACCCTCCCTCCCACCACTCCACAAAAAGTCCCGTTGCAACCTTTCTAACCGTTTAGCAACTGTCATCGGAAGCACATGTACCGACATAAAGTATGTCAGTATACTAGAAAGAACACTCTTAATCAACGTAATCCGCCCTCCTTTAGATGAGTACTGTCGCTTCCAACCCGCCAAACGTCGCTACACTCAATCTACCACCCCATCCCACACCCCCCTTTCTCCTTAAAAGTAGCCCCCAAGGGAAGCCCCAAATAAGAAACCTGTACAGTAGCCACCCTACAGCCCAAAATGGTTGCCAATCCTGGAAGAGAAACCACCTCACCCACTGGAATCAATTCTGACATTGCCAAATTAACTCGGAGCCCAAACACCGCCTTAAAACACAACAACACACGCCGCAAGTGACCAACTTGAACTGCATCCACATCACAGAAAATCAACGTATCATCTGCATAGAAGAGATGAGAAACCACTAGAGTAGCAGGATTCATCCCCACCTCAAACTTTGACGTCAAACCCTCTAGAACTGCTCTAGACAGCATTCGGCTCAAGGCCTCCATTACCAAAAGAAACAGTAAAGGAGATAAATAGTCTCCCTGCCGCAAACCCCTCCATGTAGGAAAGAAACCAGCCGGCTTCTCATTAACCAATATCGACATCCGCACCGTAGATATACAAAACTTCATCCAGTTTCTCCATTTCACCCCAAAACCCATTCTTTCCAACACATAGAGCAAAAACTTCCAATTCACATTATCATAAGCCTTCTCAATAGTCAGCTTACAGATAATACCCTCCTTGCCTTACCTAATACGCTAGTTCACACACTCATTTGCTACAAGCACAACATCCAAAATTTGACGCCTCCTTACAAAAGCATTCAGAGACTCTGACACCACCCCCTCCAGCACACCCCGAAGTCTATTGGCCAGCACTTTGGCTAAAAGCTTATAAACACAGCCCAACAGTCTAATCGGCCGAAAATCTCAAATATCCTGCTCTCCCTCTTTCTTAGGGATCAAGGCTATAAAAGTTGCATGAAGGCTCTTCTAAAACTGCCCTGTCTGGTAGAACTGCTCAAACAGGGCCATGACGTCCGTTTTCACCACCCGCCAACACTGTTGGAAAAATGCAATAGAAAAAGCATCAGGCCTTGGCTCCTTATCCCTAGGCATACTCCTCAAAACACCCAACACCTCCTCCTCTGTGAATGGTCTCTTCATCATCTGACCATCCACCTCTGAGATAGTATCAAAAGTAACCCCATCTATTCCCGGCCTCTACATCTCCCCCTCATCCCCGAATAAATTCTGATAGAAACCTACTATACCACTCCTAACTTCCTCCTCTGAAGACAAAATCACCCCATTAACACACATTTTCCCAATTTGATTCGACCTCCTATGAGCATTAGCCATTCGATGAAAGAATTTTGTATTATGGTCCCCATCCTTCAACCACAGACATCTAGACTTCTGACGAAAACTAATTTCCTCCATATGGGCAATATGCCCATACTCCTTTGGAGCCCCATTCTGACAAACCAAGTCTGCTTTAGAAAGATCTCCCTCAGCTTCCTTGCCGTCCAACTCTTGTATCACAGACAAGGTATCCGCCTTCTGAGCCTCTAACCAACCAAACACCTCCACATTTCACCATTTCAAATCAGACTTGAGCAGTTTCGGCTCCAAAGCTAACCGACAATTAGGCAAACCTACCACAGTATAACTACCCCATCGGCCTACAACCTTGTCAACAAAGCCCTCTGTTTGCAGCCACATGTTTTCGAACAAAAACAGAGTTAGGCCACGCCAGAACCCTCCACTATCCAATAGCACTGGCCAATGGTCCGAGATCGGACGCTGCAACCTCATCTGGATCATCTGAGAAAAGTACTCCTCTCAATCCCCGGTAACCAAAAATCTATCAATCTGGGACATTGCCCAACCTCCTGACCATGTAAAACCCCTTCCCTGTAAGGGCATATCAATCAACTCCATCTCATCAATAAAAGAAGAGAATGCCCTCATAGGCCCCATCACACACCTTGCCCCGACCTTCTCCTTTGGACTTTGGACCACATTGAAATCCCCACCCACACACCAAGGCGCCCCCTGCCAAAAAGCTATACTCTGAAGTTCCTCCCCAAAGGCACTCCGATCCACCCCCCTCACTAGGCCGTACACCCCTATGAACATCCACTGGAAATCATCCTCGATACACCGGAACAGACAAGACAAAGAATATCCCCCCACTTCTTCCCCCTCCTTCACCACCACCCTACTATCCCAACATATTAAGACACCACCAGCTGAACCCAAAGCTGGTAAAACTACCCACTCCACATATCTCCCACCCCACAACTCCCGAACTAACTCCCCGCCAATGCACTCCATTTTTGTCTCCTATTGACGACGTTATGAGATTAACATCAAGTTAGTAATTTTTACTAATATTTTTAAAAATTTAGTAGTTTAGTTAATCTATATTTGGACGTTATGAGATTAACATCAATGGTATTTGCAGATTCTTCCCTGACAAAGCCACAGCATTGGCATTTCAAATTCTTCATGAGCTTGTTGAGGTCAGTGCTATGGAAGTTTTTCTTTAATTTTCTTATTTTCCTGTGGAACTAAGTCACATGAAGTTCACCAACCATGCTTGGATGGCTCTCAATTTCTTATATTTTGAATGGAAGGGCTAGATTTTCATGCAAAGTTTGTTTAGGGTTGACACACCTTGTGGCTTGAATAGAAGTCTAAAATGATTTTTAAAAATTTGAGTTATTACTTAATGTAGTTTGTCATTTTGCTTTTCCACATTCCCTGGATCCATAAGGATGTAGCTTCCATGCCCTTTTGCAATGCTATCTTGAATGCTAAAGGAAATACCTTTTCTTTGTTTCTCTCTCTCTCTCTCTCTCTCTCTGTTGAAATCTTTTATCTTTGTTTGAAATTTAATTGAGTTTAAGGTCACTAATTATGTTTCATTTTCAACTTCTATGTGAAGGAGTTAAAAATTAGGCCATGTCCTGTTGTATTTGCATCTTTTTCTGGTGGTCCAAAAGCTTGCATGTACAAGGTTCTTCAGGTAAGTTTCTGGCTTGGATGTTCGCATGATAATGTGCCGAATGTTGACATTTTTTGTTTGTTTGTTTGTTCATTTATTTAAGTATGACAGTTTCCTCCCCTCTCATTAATTGCAGATAATTGAGGGAAAGTGTGAAGCACAACTCGATCCGGTATCCAACGTTTTTCCTTCTTTTCACATTATCCCGTTGACTTGGTGTTTAGGAAGATATATGACATGAAATGACCAAAATAGGATGTCAATTAGTGTTCGGCTCAGGGAATCATTTATTTAGTGTTTCTCTCATTAGGATTAAAGAACTTCAGTACATCTACTTTTGTCCATCTTATAGTTTTTTTCTTGTGAAGGATGAGTATCAATTGGTTAGAGACTGTGTTTCTGGCCACATTTACGATTCGAGTCCAGTTGATTTTACCAGTGATTTGGGCACTCGATTTGTTCTTCACCCAACTGTCCTTAAGATGTCCCATCCTCCACGACTAGTATCTTGGATTGCAAATGGAATTGCTTCTGGTTTGGACACCGTCTGCCTTAGCAGATTTGAATCACAACGTGCTGAGTATTGGCAGACTCTGTACTCCTCTGTGGTAATTATTGATCAGATGCATTGCTATTTAAAATTGTTGCTTTCCTTTTCTGCAAGCTATTCATTATCATTCCTATGCAGAGCATGGGGGCTCCGTATCTCATTTTGTGTTCAGAAGATGATGATCTTGCTCCCTATCAAATAATTTGCAATTTTGCCCACCGTCTACAAGACCTTGGTGCAGATGTCAAACTGGTGAAATGGAATAGCTCTCCTCATGTAGGTCTGTTCCTTAACCTTATTTTTTTTTATTTTCATTCTTTTTGTAAGTTATTACCTCATTAGTCATTACCCATTATGCAGTTTCAATTACTGGTGTTAATATCAGAAGGTATTTGACGATGAGGAATTTTTTTATGCTGTCAATGTTGTTGAAATGCAAATTTAATGCTGAAGAAATGAGTGTTACAAATAATGAATTTTCCAGTAACCTTTACTCTCTAGTTTTCATTTTTATTCCCTTTGGGCATAATGGTGGTTTGTTGTGAAGTGGACTGAAAGGAAGGCCTAGGAGGATGAACACTGGATCTTGGTGGAGAGCTGCAAGAATGGTGAGAAAAAGGCTATTTGAAACCCTGTCACAACTATTTTGGCAATGCTTCAGCAACTCATTAAAACACACAAACCGGATTGATGGGCATTTATTTCGTTTTTGCCTCAAGATTTTCATATATCAAAATTCGTGCCAAAAAGAGAAAAACCTAGGGTGACATGGATTTCTCTATGGACTTGTGTAAATGTTGAGATACACCCAGACACGCGTCGGACACGTAGTGGACACGTGCCAGACACTCTACCTAACGCGTCCCCTTTTTTCTTTTTGAATTTTTCCAGCTCGACACGCTTGGACACGTTGTGGACACGTTAGAGACAGAGAGAGAAACTCTAACTCATTGAATACAGAGAGATAAAAACCCTAACTAATTGAATAGAGAGAGAGAGAGAGAGAGAGAGAGGGGGGGTGAAGAAGAACCTGTTGAAGTCCTAAATCGAGGTATGTTCTTCGAATCTGTCTTCGTTTCTTCAAATCTATTTTTCTTCTTCGTTTTTCTTCTTTTGTTCGTCTCTCTCTCTCTCTCTCTCTCACTTGTGTTGAACTCATCGACTCTGCCTTTTCAACTCTCTCTTCTTTCTACGTGACCATCTCTCTTGCTCCTCTCCTTTGTTCTATTCTTTTTTTGTTCCCTTCTATCCCTGATATTATATATATATATATATAAACAAAAAAACCCCTTTCTTTTTTTTTCCTTTCCTCTTTTATTTTTATTTTTATTTTTATTTATTTATTTATTTATTTTTTATTTTTTGGGTATTCTTGTATTAAATCCCCGAAGTATTTCGGGCCGGGGACGGGGATAACCTTCACAGCCTCAGACCCGGCCCGGCCCCGTCCCCGGCTCTGTCCCCGTATCTTCCCCGAAGTGATATTACTGTCATACCCTTTATATATCCATGTATAAACCAAGCCCAAAAAAACAAACTCAATTCACTCACACAGCTTCTCTCTCACTCACTGACTCTCTCTCTCTCCTACGCACGCAGAGCAGATGGCAGTCTCTCACTCTCTTTCTTCTCTACGCACGCAGTCGGCGATGGCGTCGTCGCTCCTGCTCACCGCCTCCTCCTCCTCCTCCTCCTCCGTCGCCTCTCACCGACCCCTCCTCCGTCGCTTCCTCCTCCTCTAGGCCACCGCTGAACCGTCGCCTCTCGCCTCCTCCTCCCTCCGCCATGGCAGATCTGCACAGATCCTCCCTCCACCACTCAGATTTGAGCAGATCCTCTCTCCGCCACTCAGATCCTCCCTCTGGCCTCCTCCTCCTTCCGCCACCGTCTGTCTGTCTGTCTCTATTTTTATTTTTATTTTTATTTTTATTTTTATTTTATTTTTTGTTTTATGATGTTGCCGTTGATGATGTTCTTGATGAAAATGATGTTGTTGTTGTTGATTCCATATACATATACAGATTATTATTATAATATTCGAGCTCGAGCTTGGCTCGTTTACTAAACGAGCCGAGCCGAGTTTGTTTATGAACAGCTCGGTTCATTTGCAGCCTTATTCCTAGCGTGTCTTGTCCCTCATTTTTTGAAAATTTGCTTGTCCGCGTGTATGTGTCTGTGTCTGTGTCTGTGTATCATAGCACCCAGATTTCATCCTGCCCCAGTGTTGAGATACACCAATATTTCCCCTCTTCTTCCCCACTCGTTATTAGTGAATTATGCATACTCACGATTGATTGACAATCTTGAATTTGAATATATGTTGTATCCAATTTACTTATTTCTTAGATGGCACTGCTTTGGAGATTTTATACTTTATAATCTCTAGTTATAGCATTATATGGCATGTCCTATTTGCTAAATTCACATGTCTTCGTAAATCATTCTGGCACCTCTTCACTTGCTTCATTGCCTTCGCACAGGTCACTATCGGCATTATCCAATCGACTACAGGGCTGCTGTGATTGAGCTACTTGGAAAGGCTGCCATAATTTATTCTCATAGAATTAAACAACTTGAGGGAGAGGGAATGGGCTTCGACGGCACACAGGATGAGATTTCCAAACCATTTTACAAGTTGAAGAGAGCAGCAATGAATTCAAATCAGAGCTTTCAGAGAGTTGCTCTCGAGCTAAATGACCACTTCTTCGTGCCCAGTTCAGTGGAGTATCATGAGGACAGAGTTGTCGGATCAACACAGGATGAACATAAAGAAGGCTTAATTCCTCTTTCCAACCCGCCAAGTATTAATGCTCATGGGGTTCTCGGTCAAATTCTTTTTGATGTATGTGTTCCCAAGAATGTTGAAGGCTGGGATATGAGTTCATCGTCCTCCTTGAATAGGCCACCATTTGCTTCTTCAAGATGGCATTCGCCTCTCAATCCTATCAAATGCATGAATCCTATTAAATGCATTCGTCGCTCAAGGTTATAATATATCTTTACTTATTGGGTCCTTGGCGTTTTGTTTGAAGCGTGTTGTTGCTACTTGCGAGCAATGCTTTTGGCTGGAGCATGAAGGGAATAATAGGTTTGTGCATTTCTCATTTTGATGGTGGTTTGAACTAATCTGACACAAATTGTACAGTTAATTTACCAGGGCAACCTTAATGACTTTAAGTTCTTCTGAGTTTGTGGGTAGAATGGTCTCCCTATGTGTTAGAAATAAGGAGGTAGAAGTTTGTTGAATGTAATATCCATGCAGTTGCCTAAATTCGGTCATCCCAACTGTGATTGCCGCAGTGTTTTTGTTTTTTAATAAATGAGGTGGTTTTTGAATTTTACTTGTATATTTTTTGCTTTTAATTTATAATAAAATGCAGCAAACAAATGTTGGATTTGGATTTGTATTCCCGTATCAAATTGCAAAATGGAAATAGTATGACTGCTAGCTTGAGCTTCTTCTTCTTGTTTTTTCTGGGTCTAGCTTGAGCTTATTTAACATCAAGCTTATGTACCATGTAGCCTCTATTGTGTAGCTGACCAAATAATAGAGATTCACAATTTAAATCTCAAAATATATTTAAATATAAAATTGAGTTTATGGCAAATTACAAATTAGGGCAAAGTACATATACCCCTCTCGAGATTTGGCTAAAATAAAGATATTTCCTTGAGATTTGAGAAATTACAAATTTCTCCCTAAATGCTATATTTGCATAACAAATCAGGGGTAATTTGTTATGAAATATAAACTTCAATGGACAAATTGTTATAAAAATACAAATCTTAGGGGGCGGAATGTAATTTTCGAAACCTGAGAGGAATATTTGTAATTTAATTAAACCTCGAGAGTGGTATTTGTAATTTGCCCTAAAAAGTAATATATAACTTGTGAAGTCATTGTGAATAAAATTAAGATATTTAGATTATGAGTTTTAATCTTTTTATATTTTAAATTGTGTTTAGATTATATATTTGGGTTAGAAAAGAAAAAGAAAAGATGAAGAAAATATAAATAAACTATCGATTTAATTTTTTTAAAAACTTTTGTGAGTTTTATATATTTGAGCCATTTTTTTGTTATAATTTTTTCCATGATGAAGTTGATGAGCACGTGGCTCAATTCGCGGCTAGGATTACGGAAGTGATCGTCGGGTCGCCCCGTGTCCTCCACTTGGAGGTCAAAGCCTGTCGGAAAGACTTGGGAGTCCAGACCAGAAGAGGCAGAAAATTATTTCATGGTTTCTGGACAATAGGCTTCTCAAAAGGGTCTTAAGACTGGACATGTCCAGTCCAGCTCATGGGTCTAGTTTTGGACCTATTTTGATAATTCGAACCGCAATATATAAAACTCGTCGAATACTGTATCCGTGTAAAAAAATCACATTGATCGGATATCGATAGTTATTTGATCGGATAAGAATTCTGTCAATTGTTTATTTTTCACCGTTCATTTTTTTAAATACAAATATGATCCGATCAAATAACTTTTGATATCCGATCAAAATATTTTTTATTGAAATATAGTAATCGACAAGTTTTACACATTAAACGGTTTAAATTATCAAAACGAAACTTTAAAATAAACCCATAAATTAGACTGGGTGAATTCAATCTTGACCTTGATACGAGACATGCTGAACCTTTTCAAAAAAAAAAAAATCGGTGCGATACATGTGGGCCACCAACTTTGCTACATTTGCAAATTATATAAGGATAAATTATAAATACACTTCTTGAAATTTGATTAAAATATAAATTGTTCATCTTGGTTTTGAAAATTATATTTTATTTTTGAGATTTATAATTTTATAACAAATCGTTCCTTTTATTAATAAATCATCAAGTCAATTAATAATTTTTAATGATGTTATAGATATGTTTCAATTAATAATATAGGTAATTTTATTATTGTATAGGAGAGTTATTATGAATTTCTTTTTTTAATTAATTCTGTTAAATAAAAAATTTTAACAAGAAAATATTTGTAATTTTTCAAATTATAAGGAGCAATATGTACTTTAAGCAAACATTATGAGTGTATTTTTAATTTACCCATTATATTACTTAGCCTTTTTCTGAAAAGATAGTAAAAATTTATTTTTTGATTTTTAACTTATTTAAGATTTTACACATTTTTTCAAAAATAACTAAAAAAATTAAAAATTAGTCTTTAACCAACGTCATAAAATAACCTGAAAATAATTTTAATGAATTTATATTGATTGGTCAAGAAATATAATTTAATGATTGGCTATAATTTATTTATTGCTCAAGAAATATAGTAGCAATTAACTTCGGTGATTGGCTCTTGCCAATTTGAATAATTATTCTGTTTTTTTATAAATTTTATGTTGACGGTAGGTTCAATTAACAGTAAATTTTTTAATAATTATATAAATTTGAAAATAAAAAAAATAATAATATATGGCCATGTAATCTTTTAACATGTATAATAAATTCAGCTTCAATTAGCTCAATTTTTTTTTGTTAAAAATAAAAATAATGTTTGAAAGTTTTAAAATAACCCGTACTTCTCTCTCAATCTCTCTCTACTCCCTCTCTTTTCCCTCATTAGAATTCTATTTAAAATTCTAATATTAAAGTGCGAAAATAATTCAGTGTGTTTGGTTTAAGTTTTTTGGATTAAGTTTTTTAAAAATTGATTTTTTTGGTTTTCGTATTTTTTTGTTTTTAGTGAATATTTTTTAAATTTTAAACATTTTTTTTTTTACTTTTTTAGATGCATATCTAAAAAATAAAAAATTTGTGAAAAAATATTTTAAAAAATTGAATTTTCATTTTTTTTTTTATATTTTTAGTATTTAGTGAATTTTTAAAAGATTTTTTTTACAATTTTTTTACTTTTTAGGTGTATTTATGTTAGGTGTGTCTAAAAAGTATAAAAATTATTTAAAATATTTAAAAAATTTAATAAAAACAAAAAAACACGAAAAATAAAAAAATAAAATCTTTTAAAAAGTATTTCTTTAAAAAATGAAAACAAGGAAGATGATTAATACTTGTGTGGAGTCAAAGTCTCAAAAATGTTTGCAGTAAAGCAGGTAAGCGAGACGTGGGTGACATAATGGCATTGAAATCTACTAAACGGTGACATCTCACCCTCCAATCTTTGTCACGACTTATTCTTCTAATTTTACTTGAACAAAAATTAATTAAGTTACCGTTTGATAATTGGAGATGGGTCATTTATGTGTTAAAAGTACAACAATAATTATTATGTCTTAATTTGAGATGTATTATATACTTATTTTTATGATTTAAATTGTTTATTTTATAAGGTTTATTGAGTACTTCATGTCTATTAAAAATCATATTAATGGGATATCAATAACTATATGATCGAATTGTATATTTTTATACTATTTCTCAAAAGAAAAACTTATTTTTTTTATTTTTTTGGTTATCGATCATATAATAATTGATATCCGATTAATATAATTTTTTTTAGGCATGAAATACTTAATAAACCCTACAAAATAACGATTTGAATCATAAAAATAAACCTATAATACACCTCAAATTGAGGCACAATAGTCACTGACACTGACGTGCCTTTAACACATCAGTGACCTCATTTCCTTGATAATTGGCTTTTTTTTAGTTAGTTTTTTAATTTTTTTTTATCTATTTTAGTTTGGGATTAAAAATTTATTTAGTTTTATTTTTTTTGATTTTTTAAATTTTTGTGAGAAAAAAGTAAAATGATTATAATTTAGATGTGATATTTTATCTTATTGACTTATTCAGGCCTTATTTATGAACAAACTATTTTAATAACTTTTTAGCTTTTTCTGAAAATATGTGTAGAAAAGAAAAAAGAGTAATGTGATAATTTATAAGAACTTTTTGATTATTTGACTAAAATAATTACTCTCCAAACAAGATCTAAGTCTATTTTATCTTTTATATTTTTTTAACCAAAAAACTATTGCCAAACAACTCCTAAACAGTGTTAAACTATAATTTGATATTTTCAATAAATAAACAATAATAACATAAATTTTATTATTTATTTTTCTAACTATCTATGTTGCTGGTGACTTGTTCAACATTATATTATGAAATGGTTGTTATTACGGGTTACTTTCCCTTCACATTTACATTTCTCCGTATTTATTCATATTATTTACATTTCTTCATATTTATTCATATTTTTTTTACGGGCTTAAATTCATATCCACATCGGTAATTTAAATCATTTGCTTTATAGGTTCCGTAATAAAAATTATCTATACAAAAAATAAATTTTATCAGATATCTATAAATATAAAAATAAATCATAATTTGTTTTATAAAATGAGTAGCAAATAAGATGGTAAACTTAAACGATTCATTTTATAAAAAAAACAATGTAATTCATTTCTGTGTTTATAATTGTCCAATAAATTTAATTTTTTGTATGAATAACTTTTTTATGAAGCTTATGAAATAGACAGCTTAGATCATTAAGGTAAGTCTGGATTGAAATCCACAAGAGGAGTGTGGATGGGTATAGAGTAGGGGTGAGCATGGTCCGGATTGGACCGGATTGGGATAAAACTAGGACCAATCCGTTATTTACGGTTCCTGAAAAATCGGAACCAATCTGATCCGTTTAAATCTTGGAACCAATCCGAACCAACCCATTTCAACACGGATTGGATCGGTTTAGGACCACGGATTCACATAACTAAATAACAAAAAAATATATATATATAACACTTTAATTTTATAAAAAAATAAATACAGCGCTATATTAGTTCTACAATAGCAACATGTTTTTCTATAATAGCGACATAATGTTCTAGAATTTAAACAATCATAAAAAAACTGGTTTCACCATAAGTATTTAGACCATTATAAATTAAAACTAAAAACTAAAAAATAAAAGTAATAAAAGAAGATATTATAGGAGGTTTAGGTTTGAGTTTAGATTTTATATAGAATAAGAGAAGATACTATGTGAGATGATGTATAATAAAAATATAGACTATTTGTGTATAACGGTCCGGATCGATTTCAATCCGGAACTGTGGGGTTCAATCCGGAACCAATCCGTGGACTACGGATTTTTAATTCTTCAATCCAGAACCGAGCCACGGATTCAAAAAACCAATCCAAACCTATCGAATTGGACTGAAATGGATCGGATTACAGATTTTACGGATTTCTTGCTTAGTCCTAGTATAGAGACATAAAATATGAAGGGAAGCTTATCCTATAAAATACAACTTAATTTGCTAAAATAGTCAAATTCATATTGTTCCGTCGGTTAATTTCAGTTTGAGTTAATTTGCGGCTTGAAATTTATAATTTGCCAAACCGTCCCGTCTCCCTATAGTTAATATACATGTATATTCGCTATAGTTAATATACATGTATATATATATATATATATTTATTTTTAATGAAATATTAAAATAAAAACCAATATGAAAGAGATATAAAATGTGGAATTTAGTGTAAATTAATGTCATGTATATAAAAGAATATGATATAAAATTAGTTGGTATTATACATTTAAAAAATAGTATATGCTAGTGTTATATATTTTCTAAATGATAATTATTTGAAGTTATTCTTCAATTGATTAATGGGTTAAAATTGCCTAAATGGCAATTTGATTACCGATAATAATTTTATCAATCTGTCATTCGATTTGATTTTAATTTCAATAATACTACAATCTCAAAAAAAATTATTGCAAATTTATTCCGAAGCATCAATATGTGACTTAAATTCATTTCATGCTTACATCCATACTACATTAATTTAATCTTTACCATCACATACACCTCATCCAAAAAATTTGGGGCTCTTATGTTTGGGACGGTAACTTTTTTGTTTTAATTTTATTCTCAATCAAATCAAATCACTCCGCACACTCTTAATTGTTACAAATGTCAATTAAGGAGTTATTTGACATGTATTATTTTAGCACATTTATTTTTATCTTATTGGTTACATCACTTTTTTTTTTTTTTTTGGGTCCTATCACCTTTCTATTACGTTACACATTATTTCATAAAAAATATAAAAAAAATTAACAAATCATCCTAACCAATCTCTAATTACAATTCAGATATCTAAGTCTTCGTTTGGAATGTGAGTTGGCATTTTGATTTTTCGACTTTTTTAACTTAGGATTAAAAAGTCTCATTTTGGATAAATTTTTTGATTTTTTTAAATTTTTATAAAGAAAAAATAAAATAATTATAATTTAAATATGATATTTTCTCTTATTAATTTTTTAACTTATTTTATCTTTTTATAACTAAAATAATCTCAATTCAACCCAAACCTTCCTGCCGAATCCTAAATAATCACAATAGGTTCAAAGCGAATCCACACGGGCCATACAGTTGGTGCTGGGATCTATTCGATTGAAAAGTGGTCTGACAATTTCGCGTAGCAAAAAACAGAACAGAATAATTTTGCATAGAAAAAGAAAATGGATAAATAAAATAATAAAAAAAAGGAAAAAAGTGGAGGACTTTTCAGCCAAAGCGCGCCCACAAGCGCAAGTTAGCTGCGTGTAGGGCCAAGGCGCACGTTGAATCCAGCTCAGATTTGGCTAGTGAACGCCGAATCCCAACGAACGGTGCGTTTTGGCAATGTCTAGCACATGACATGACAAAGACAATGGGAAAACACCCAAACCCAAAAATAAAAAAAAATTGCACACAAACAAAATAGACGAACACCTTCATTTGCGCTCCTCACTCTTTCTCTCTCTACCTTCTTTCTCTTCGATGATATTTTTGCATCGACTTCGCGATCTGCGTATTTTTTTTTTTTGATTTCTGCAACTAATTATCAATTCATATTCTTCTCATGATAAAGGTTTGTTTGTTTGTTTTTTTTTTTTCTCGCATTTTTATTCTTCTTTCTCGGTCATTGTTCTCTCGATTCTCGCATAAAGTGAAAACATTTTATCCGCATTGACTTGACTTTCACCAATCTGTTCTCTAAATTATTGTCTTCGTCAATTGATCCAGATTGATTTTAATTATGTATGTGATAAATTGATTGTTTTTCTTTGAAGATCCCCATAATTTGATTCCAAATCAAGCAATGTTGTTGTTGTGTTATGTAATTTGGTGAGAAGGTTTGTTTGTTTGATTTTGTTTTTGTTTGATGTGTTTGGTTTAGGATTAGAAATTGAAAAAAAAATCGCATGGAGGAATGAGGATTAAAGAGTGGTTGGTTTGGATTTGAAGGAGGTGAACAATGTCCTCGAAGGGTGAACATCAGACGGTGCCGCTTTCGGTGTTGCTAAAGCGCGAATTAGCGAATGAGAAGATTGAGAATCCAGAGATTTGTCATGGTCAGGCTAGCCAAAGCAAGAAAGGGGAGGACTTCACATTTGTCAAGACCGAATGCCAACGCGTTGTAGGAGATGAGGTTTTTACATATTCTGTTTTCGCGGTATGTTTTTCGTGTTTTTAAACCAATGTGGTTATGCTTTATCCTGTATCTATGCTTAGAATTTGTCTGTGGTTGTCTGAATTAACTCAATGAAATCTCCTTCTAGTGCCTTAATGCTTTTTAGTATAGTATGATACCTTGGTGGAAGAAGGCTTATGGTATCAATATTGCAGGTTTAGGCTGTATAAAGCCAGGGGACAATCAATTGCTTTGATTTTTAGTGTTTGAAAGAACAATTGTTCATATTAACTAGTTGGGTTAATTTTGGGGGTATGCATGTTTACAGTTTGTATGCTTTTTTTTAAAAAAATTTGATCTGATTGGTGAGCTATGGCAGAAATTTATAATGTTCAAAGATAAAGGGAAAAAGGTGCAATTTGTGCTTGGTCATTGTTGCTAGCTGTCGACATTTCCATTTCTTTGCCACTATCTTAACTCAACAAAACAAGTCAAACATTGAGTTTTATTGGTTGGGCTAGGCTAACTGACTTTTTTCTATCTATTTTCTTATTCTTGTTGTGTGTTTCTTGTACATCTATTTACAGGGGTTCTCCTTCCATAATTGTCCTTGAAAACTCTCTCTTGCATCCATCCTTGGGGATTTTCAGCTTCTTCTTTGTGTTTTTGTTAGTCTTCGTCGGCATCTATGCTATAGGAATTAGTCCTTACCATATACACATATATGTGCAGTACTTTGTTTTGTTAAGAAGAGGTCAACTATTATATACTCTCCCTTCCTCGTTTTCTTTCTTTTTCTTTTTCTTGACCTATAGGGAACCACTCCTTTGACTTGGTAATTGAAGAAGTAAACTAGAATTTTCTGTCCCTGTGTTGTTCAGGCAGATATTGAGGCAGTCGATTTTTCTACATGATGATGTCAATTGTCAAGTAAATTCTTGATTCTTAAATGGACTTCATATAGGAATTTATGAGTTCTGTCATCCTGTGCTTGGACAAGAAATATATTTTTAAAGGGACGTTTTTAATGGCACCGAATTTTGTTAAATATTGTTTGCTTATTAGTACCCGTGTATCTTATGCATGTATAATAGGTTTATATTGATCCACTAAATTGGTACTAATGACATAGAACACAGTTCACTTTATGTTTTTGTTAAAAGTGTACTAATATTCTCTACTGTTCTCGAGGAATTTAGAATTGATGCTATCTTTTGCTTGTGCATTTCATTTGACGGATACCAATGAATTGTTACCCACTTTTGCAATCACAGGAGACTGGTGTCTTTGGGCTGTCTTCATCAATGATTCTAGTTGCCGCTATTACTTCATAATTCGTCATAGTTAGATTAAATTTTTTTTTGGTTTGAATCTTATTCTGCAGCTATTTGATGGACACAATGGGCCTGCGGCTGCCATATACTCTAAGGAAAATCTCCTAAATAATGTTTTGGCTTGTATTCCTTCTGACCTTAACAGAGATGAATGGATTGCAGCACTGCCAAGGGCTTTGGTTGCGGGGTTTGTAAAAACTGATAAAGATTTTCAAGAGAGAGGTATGATTTGGATTTGTGTTAAGTCTTATTAACATTCCATTACTGGTCTGGTCATGTCACGGTCAAGAGGCCATCATGTAGCTTAAGTAGAAAGCAAAGGACATTTTATTTAGCTTCCCTCCCAAACTTTTTTTTCCACTATCATTTGAGTTCATCTTTCATATACATCAACATCCATGTTAGCTTCTTTTTTTTTTTGAAGTAGCATTTTGTAAATATATTGAGTATATAGTAGGTACGTCTGGATACGCTAAAAATTAAGAAGAAAAAATTTAGGTACGTGTTTCGTGTACCCGGTACGTATGAAGAAGTACCATACGAGGTACCATACGCCGGTAAGTACCCGGTACGGGTACAGCTTGTTTTTTGAAGTACCCATGCTTCATAGATTGTAATTGCTTATTGAAATTCCGTAGGAGCCCTCTTCTCTCTCTCTATCTCTCTCTCTCTCTCAAATGTATATGGTACTTACACATCGATATGATGACATTTCAGCACAAACTTCAGGAACAACCGTCACCTTTATGATTATTGAAGGATGGTTCATAACTGTAGCATCTGTTGGTGATTCTCGTTGTGTACTTGAATCGGCTGATGGTGAAATATATTATCTGTCAGCAGATCATAGGCTTGAATGCAGTGTAGAAGAGTAAGTTATATATATTTTTTGCTTTAGCAACAAGTTAGAGTCATGTTTTACATAGGTTTTACCTCTTAATCTTTCATCAGGAGAGAACGTATAACTGCAAGTGGTGGTGAGGTTGGTCGGCTTAATACTGGTGGTGGTACAGAGGTATAACTTTTAGTTCATTTTAGCTGTACACTTAATATTTTATAGTACACAAACTTGAATGCCCATATTGATGAACTGTATTCAAATTATGGATAAGTAGAACCACAAATCATTAATTACACGGGCATGTCTACATAGTGGACCAAAAATCATGTGATCTGAAAAGCAGAATGTTGTTAAGTAAACATATTTAATGTACAAGTTAACATGAATTTTGTTCTCCAATTATTTGTACTTATTTGGGAAAGGTGATGTCTTCCCATATAATGATGACCATGAGTGTAGAGAAAAAACATGTTTGACTTCAGTTAATGAGAAACATGGTTTTGCTATGTTCCCTGTAATAGATCATTATTATTTATATGTACTTATTACTTTATTGTCTATGGACTAAGAAGCACGGACACTTCTGCAGAGGAAGTGTGTGGTGTCCGACACGACGTCTCTTAATTAAAAAATCAAATTCATAATATTGGACACTTTACTAGCACTTTGTGGACACTTCGGCGACACTTGTTAAACCCTTTGAACACGTCCTATGTGATGACTTTGTTCATAATAACAATGTTATGCATTGTTCAGAACCTAAGTTGCACGAAGCGGGAGCGGGGATGGGAGCGAGGAAACGTGAGCCGATAGAAGTTTTTTAGGTTGGGAGCGCCTCGGGGAGCGGTAATATATATATATATATGGGAGCGGTAATATATATATTTTAGTAATTATTTTTTAAATAAATTTATTATATAAAGATGAGTTAAATAGTTATTTTTAAATATATTTATTATTTTTATCTTAGGTATTATTTTTATTGATAATATTTTTAATTTATTTATATAATTATTTTTATTTTTAATTGATATATATTATAAATAAAAAATATAACAAATAAGGAATAATAAACTATGTTAAAATAAATAAAAGATAAAAATTGGATGATTTATTTTATAGATTTTATTTTATTTTTTTTATTATATTTGATTTAATTAGATTTATTATTATATAACAAATTATATTATTTATTATATTTATTATATGTTAAAAATGGGAGGGGGAGAGACATAATACAAATCGACGAGAGAGAGAGAGAGAGAGAGAGAGAGAAAGAAGAAGAAGAAGAAGAAGAAGGTGAGCAGATCGAAGGCGATGGCAATGGCGATGGCGATGTCGAGAAGATCGAAGGTGAGAGCGAAGGTGAGCAGATCGCGAGGCGAGAGCAGATCGAAGGCGAAGTCTATGTAGAAGGTCCAGGCGATGTCGAAGGTCGACGTCAATGTCGAAGGAGAAGGCGACAGCGAGACCGGGTTTCTCTCTCTCTCTCTCTCTCCCCTTTACGATCCCATGTTGGACTGAATCGCGTTTTTCTCTTCACAGAAACGCGATTCTTACATGTTTTTTTCTAGGAAACGCGAAATCGCGATTCTTACTCAGAGTCGCCACCTGGTTGCATGATTCCTGCAACTAAGTTCAGAACACAACTTATGCACTCCAAATATGTTTTGAAACATTTATATGATGAAAACATCCTGTGTATTACAATATTATATAATTGTTTGTATTATTTAGAATGTAATGGTTGCTTGAATGATATCTTGATGTAGTTAGTATTATATTGTATATTTTTCATTAACTTTGAATAAATTATTCATATGTATGACATACAATAAATTTGTAAAAATATAAAAAAATTAATGTGTTCCAAGCTTGTCTTGTCTTGCATTTTTTGAAAATTGACGTATTGGCATGTTCATGTTAGATCGGTCCTCTAAGATGTTGGCCTGGTGGCTTGTGCCTTTCACGTTCCATTGGAGATTTGGATGTTGGCGAGTACATTGTCCCTGTTCCTTATGTAAAACAAGTGAAGGTTTGTTTCTCATCTTTTTTATTTACACAATTTTTTTTGTAGTTTAGCCATAATTCTCTCTACCTGCTTCTATTTCAAGTTTCTTTTATTTTCCATTGTTATAAAATGGGAAAAAAGCTTTTTCTATTTACATTCGTGCTAATAACGCCAAACGATAGGTTTGAATCCAATCTACCCTCCCAGACCTCCATCCAATAGGGACTAAACTTGGGGTATTTATTATTATTTTTTTTAATAATTTGGAGGTGGCTAATCTTTCAAATTCAAAGGTTATCAACAGAATTTGTTGTACTTCACCTTTCTTGATCATGATCACTGTGATTGAATTTATTTATTTATTTTTTGGAATGGTTGATTTTCTTGCAATTATATAGATTGTGATATCTAGAAGAATACATAATTGTATACTCCTTAGTTTACTCAAATAATTTCACCACAGTTTTGTATGATGGGCTTTAATTATTGATGAATTCCTCTTGTTGTGTCCTAACACAAATCTCTGTTGAATCTTTAAATATTGATAATCATAATAATATGTCAAGGAAATGCTCAAGACACAAGATTATAGTGGTAAAAACTTCAGTAAAGGCATTTTTGGTTGGAATTTAATTTCCTTGGTAGCAGGGAACCTAGTGAAATATTCTCAGTTATCATTAAAATATTTGGACCTTGAGCAGCACAATCCAAGTTGATGTCCTATTAGTTTACAAATTTTCATGAGCATGTGACATTCTCTGAAGAGCTACATGTTACGGACTGAATTGGCAAGAAAGCTTTTGTTGCTGATCCCACATTCTGAATGATGATTAGCTTCTGATGGGTGAAGTTCTGCTTGTTAGATTCAACTCAAGTTCCATCTTGTTTCAATTTGTTAAAAAATTGGTTTTTAAGAATGTAAGGCTGTGTTTGTTACAGCTCTAGAACTAACGTTCCAGAGCTTAATTTGAACACGGCGTTTGTTTACGAATTTCAAAACTTAATTCCATGCTCACTTTTGAAAACGCGGTTGAAAACGGGAAAATTTTGACTAACCAGTCGTCCCACCGAATGTCCTACCAGACGTCTCACCGGTCGTCAGGCTGGTTGACCAGAACAGTACAATTATTTTTTTTATTTTTTGCAATTGACATATGTTAATTTTTATATATTCGAAAAAAGTAATTTCCAAATTTTTTAAAAAAATTTATATGTTTTAATAGAATTTTGAGTTGTATGTTTGGTTATGAATTGTAAATTTTTGTATCAAATATCATATGTCACATCAAAAATTTCCCACTCAATTCAAAACTCATTTCAAAACTCTTTCACCAAACAAATTTTCCACACTCAAATCATAATTTTAAAACTTACAAATTCAAAATACAACTCTTATTCTCAAATCATAGTTAGAAAGCTCTACCAAACGCAACCTAAGACTTTTTACATATGTTTGGTGAGTGGTTGGGCTGATAAAAAAAGTATTAAAATAATTGTTGTGTGGGAAGTCAAGCTCAAAAAAGGATACCTTCCCAAGCAAAGGCTTCTGGTCTAGAAAAAGTTTTATCCTTTTTTAAAGTCATCTAATGAGGATATATCTTGTTACTCATTAAATTTATTTTCAGTTTTCCAATCACGATTTCTAGTAATTAGCTAAAAAAAGGAGTGTTTGATAGTTGTTAAATGTCATGCTAATTATGGGACAAAAATTACAAAATTGTGAGAGAACTGCCATTCCCTAGGACCATCGATTCTGGATTGATTTGACTTGGATTTATATTTAAAATTTGACTTCTAGAATCTGTAATGAACATGAGTGAAATTTGAATGGTTGACGTAAAGTCTCAAAATAATTATCCATTATCTCTTTCAGTTTGGTGTTATTAATTGTCTATCATGAGCAGTTGGAAACAGAAGGTGAAAACCACAGTTGGAAACGTGGCGATGAAGAATAACCACTGATAGCTACTCCAGATCTTTGTTTCTTGAGGAATTTTTTCGGAACATTTAGAACTTGAACAACCTGCTAGTGCCTTTGAGTATTTCTTTTAGCTTGGCTTTGAAGCAACATAAAATTAAATATATTAATTTAATTCACCGCTGGGTCTCAACTGTCTTGTATCTAGTGGGTAAGAAATTTAGGTATGCCCAATATCTAAGAAGCACAGACATTTCTAAGAAATTGACATATCCCTGTCAGACACCAACACTCCTTGGACATGCTTGGACATGTGTCCTATACTCTTTTTTACGTGTCCAAAATTTAAAATAAAAAAAATCATAACTTCGGACATGTCCGAGATTCATTTTGTGACGTGTCCATCACTTCTTGGTCAAAAATAACAGCAAAAAAAAAAAACAAAAACCAACACTTCTTGGACATTTGCTAAACACAATTTTTGAAGTTTGAGAATTTGACCCAAATGTCTTATATCCTTAAAAAACATACAATTATTAAGAATAATCCTATAGAAGTTTCACATAAACTTAAATGAAAAATAAAAAAGATACGTAAATGTATTAGCAGATTGCTTAGGAGGATAAGGTATATGTTTGTTAAGTTGTCTGATTTTTAACTAATATGGTCTAGTAGTCTAATAAATTATGTAAGAGAATTAGATACAAGATTCATTTGGTATAAAGTATTGTTTAATTTTGTATAAATTATGCACATATATAACTATGTAATATTATGATATATTCCTAGATAATATAATATCAAGATATAATTATTTGTGGCATGTCCTAACAGCTTAAGCTTTTGGGAAAATTAGTAACTTAATATGTATGACTTCTGATTATTAGTAATTATTGTATTAGCTTGAATTTAACTATAGTAAATCATGTGAAGTTTCATCTTAGAAATCTTTTTATTAAATTTTCTAATGATATTTCTGCAGCTATCAACTGCTGGTGGCAGGCTTATTATCTCAAGCGATGGTGTTTGGGATGCTTTATCTGCGGAGACAGCATTTGATTGTTGTCGTGGGGTGCCACCAGATGCAGCAGCTTCACAGATTGTTAAAGTATGCTAACAACTTGAAGTTTTTATTTGTTTACTCTTTATTTATTTATTTTTCCCAAGGGTCTTGTGGAGAATGTAGTGGCAATCATTAGGGAGGGGGATAGAATTATGTTAGTTAAACTAGTTATTGGAGGGAATATAGTGAACGTTATGGCCCCATTTGTTTTCAGAGGTAGAATGGAGGGGATTCATAGTGAGGGCCCCGTTTGTTTTTAGAGGCAGAATGGAGGGGATTAATAGTGATGGAATTGTTAGTGAGAGGATTGATAGTGAGGGGATTAAGTAAATTGTGTTTGTTTTGATGATAGTTGTTAGTGTAGGAATTGTTAAATTATTTTTATATAAAATAATAAAACAAATAAAAAATATAAAAAATTAAACATTAATATTTAAAAAAAATTCTCAATATATAAAAAATAAAAAAATTTATAATTCCCTCACTATTTTTCTAATACCATCTTTACTTCTTCCATCCCAATCCCCCTTCCAAGGCCTTTACTAATACCAAGGGATTAGGAGTCCTCTCCCCATCTCTCAAAACAAACACCCCATATAGTAGTCCCACCTCACTATCAATCTCAATCCGCTCCCTATAACCCCAAACAAACGGGGCCTATTAGTGCATACGCCTCTCAAGTAGGATTAGATGATCAGACTAAGAGGGATTTTTGGGAGCAAATGGATGAGATCTTACAGGAGATACCCGTAGGGAAGAACCTGATTATAGGTGGAGATTTTAATGGCCATGTAGACATAGATAAACTAGGCTATGAAAGAGTGCATGGTGGATACGGTTTTGGTGATAGAAAATGAAGCTAGAGAGAGTATCTTAGATTTTGCGTTGGCTTCTGATCTGGTGGTGGCCAATACTATGTATAAGAAGAGGGAGGAGCATTTGATAACCTTTAAGAGTGGGTCAGTTAAGAGCCAAATAGATTACTTCTTAGTGAGAAAAGTGGACTGCCTAAAATGCAATAATTGTAAGGTGATTCTTAGAGAGAGCCTAACCTCTCAACATAGGATTTTGGTACTAGATTTATATTTTAAAGGGCAATACCAAGCTAGGAAGGATGGTGGGCGTCGTAGGAAGAGATGGTGGGACCTAAAAGGAGATAAATTAGAAATATTTAAGAATAAAATGGATAAGGAAGTTACTTGGGACTTGGAAGATGATGCTAACACTATGTGAAACTCGATGGCCAATTGTATGAGAAGAATCTCAAGGGAAGTGAGAGTCGAAAGGAACGGGACCCAGTTCTAGGAAAACTTGGTGGTGGAGGGAAGAGATTCAAGCGGTAGTTAAGGCAAAAAAAGAGTGCTTTAAAAAGTGACAAAAGCATAGAACTGAGGAAAATCTTAAGAGTTATAAATTGGTTAATAAGGAGATGAAGAAAGTAGTGAGAGAGGCTAAGTTGAAAGCTTATGATGACCTATACACTAGACTAGATAGTAAGGAGGGAGAGAAGAGGGTATACAAACTTGCTAAGATACGGGAGAGAAAAACAAGAGATTTTAATTAAGTTAAGTGCATCAAGAGTGAGGATTCTAAGGTATTGGTGAGGGATGAAGAGATTAAGGAAAGATGGAAGAACTATTTTGAGAAACTATTAAATGAGAAACATGGAGTTACGGCAATAGGGGAAGAAATAGCCAGTAATATGATAAACCAAGACTATAGGTTTTATCGCAAGATTAAGAGCTTTGAAGTGGAGATAGTACTTAAGAAGATGAAATCAAATAAGGTTTTAGGATCAGATGATATCCCTATTGAAGCTTGAAAGTGTTTGGGAAAAAAAAGGGTTGCTTGGTTGACTAGGTTGTTTAGCAAAATTTTGTTGACTAGGAACGTACCAAATGAGTGGAGGAAGAGTATTTTAGTGCCAATCTATAAGAATAAAGGAGATGTACAGAATTGCAACAACTATAGAGGAATCAAACTAATGTGTCATATAATGAAAGTGTGGGAGAGGGTAATAGAACGCCGATTACAAGATATAACAGAGGTGTCACAGAATCAATTTGGGTTTATGCCTGGCAAGTCAACAATGGAAGCGATCTATTTTTTGAGGAGAGTAATAGAAAAGTATAGAGAAAAAAAAAGAGACATTCATATGGTGTTTATTAACCTTGAGAAAGCATATGATAAAGTGCTCTGGGATATAATATGGTGGGTGTTAGCGAAGAAAGGGGTGACAAAAGGTTAGATTGATGTGATTAGGGACATTTAGATCGTATGCTGGAGAGACAAATGAATTTCCTATCACTGTAGGGCTACACCAAGGGATTTACCTTAAATCCTTATCTTTTTGCTTTAGTTATGGATGAGTTGACGAGAAATATTCAGGATGACGTGCCATGGCGTATGCTTTTTGTAGATGATATAGTGCTAGAGAAAGAGTCAATACAAAGTTGGAGGTTTGGAGAAAAGCTCTTGAATCTAAAGGATTGCGGATAAGCAGAACTAAGACAGAGTACATGGAGTGTAAATTTAGTAACAGTAACAATGAAAGCAGAGGAGAAGTGAAGATCGAGAATCAAAAACTGTCTAAGAGTGAACATTTTCGTTATTTAGGATCGATTATCACAACAGTAGGGGAGATTGATGCGGATGTGGCCTATAGGATTAAGGCGGGATGGTGCAAGTGGAGAAGTGCGTCTGGGGTACTGTGTGATAAACGAATACCAGGATCGAAGCCCTAATTGCACTTTTCATAGCCCTAATCACAGGTATGCCATCTTTCTTCTTACTTCCATATGCTATATCCTCTTCTTCTATGCCGTATCCACTTTTTCCAAGCCGTATCCCGTCCGGATTCCGTACCCGTACCCGTGTCGTGTCGTGTCGACACGGGTACTTCGCCAAAACTGACGAGTCCGTGTAACGTAGGATGTGTGGCAAGACTAGATAAGACAGAATTAGGAATGAGTGTATTCGGGAATGGGTAGGAGTAGCACCGATAGAAAATAAGCTGAGAGAGAATCAATTGAGATGGTTTGGTCATATTCAACGGAGACCAACAGAGGTAGTAATGAAGAGATGCGATACTGTAACGGTAGATGGAAGTGTTTGGGGACCGGGTAGGTCTAGATTAACGTTGGTTAGCGTTGTAAATAAAGATATGAATTTACTTAATTTAACTAACGAAATGGCCTTTGATAGGGCCGCGTGGAGAAAAAGAATTTATGCAGCCGACCCCATTTGATGGGACTTAAGGCTTGGCTTGGTTTGGTTTGGTTATTTATTTATTTATTATTAATGATTTTCAATTGTCTGTTGCTTATTCAAATATCCAGTTACACCCTTCTGCTCCATTTTGCAGGATGCTGTAGGAATGAAAGGACTTCGAGATGATACAACTTGTATTGTGATTGATGTACGACTTCCAGAGAAGCCAAATGTCCCTTTGCCACCTCCAAAGAAGCAGGGCGGCAAAGGAGTTTTTATGTCCATGTTTCGTAAGAAATCCTCCGAGTCATCTTCTCAAATTGATAAAGAATATTGTGAGCCAGATGTGGTAGAAGAAATATTTGAGGATGGATCTGCAATGCTTTCAGAAAGGTTTGTACAGAGCAAGTCAATATTGTTAGCTGAATTTAAAACTTCCATTTCTAGAATCATGGAATGTGTTCATTGTGTTGGTCGCGTTGTTTTATTGATAATAAATACCATTTTTTTTTAATAAAATGAGGTGCATATTTGGATGCAGGTTGGACACAAAATACCCAATCTGCAATGTGTTCAAGTTGTTCATGTGTGCAGTTTGTCAAGTAGAGATGAAACCTGGAGAGGGTATTTCAATATATGCCGGTGTTTCAAATTCGGGAAAAGTGCGGCCTTGGGATGGCCCTTTCCTTTGCGTAAGTTGCCAAGAGAAGAAAGAAGCCATGGAAGGGAAGAGACCTTCTGGAGGTATGTCAGCTCAATCATATTATTCTGTGAAAACCTCTTGTCACGAAGCTTTGTTTTTATTTTTGTGTTTTTCATGTTCTGGTGTTTACAGCTGGAAGGTATAGTAGCGGAAGTGACTAGTCAACCTTTCTCAAGCATTAATTAAGCACTAACTATTGTTCCTGGAATGATCACAAATGGGAAGGCAGAACTTCTCACCATATAATTCCACTCATGTCTCTGATTGAGCGGTTTGAGCATTTCAATCCATTTTGACATTTTAGTTGGGACCCATTCGGGATTTTTTCCTAATGTTTCCTTGCTCCCAGTCAGAAGATCAAAGATTCAGGTTGATGTAGTGTTATTGAAAAATAGTTTCTGACTCGGGGAGGTTTTTCATGCCTGCCTACCACCTTTGGAAGATTCATATGAGATGTTGATACACTCTTGACTGGGTTACACGACTGAGAGAATCATCTCCTCCTCCTGAATATGTTCAACTGTTTACAGGTACGTCCCTTTCCTAGAGCTAACATCAAGTGAGATCAGTCTTCACTCTACAGTATAATATCCTTTTATAGGAAGTTGAATGTGTACTATTAGGATTCATTGCATAGGAGAAACTTCTGTGATCATTCTGATATTGAACTTGTTCATGTAAACATTAATTCGTTCCTAGGCAAAACCTTCAGAAAAGAAGCAGACTGATGTTTCTGTAGTTTCCACCACTGTAATTCAAAATTATTATTATTTTTGTTTGCATTGTAATTCAAAATTGATGAATGAAAAAACCGCAGTTTCAAAAATTTAGAAAATAACCATCTTAATATATGTAAGTTTCTTCAATGTAGCTGTGTAAGGTTTTGATCTCATCAAGTTTTGGCATGGTTTGTCATGAGATTGGTTTCTCATATTTCTTATTCTTGTCTATGCTGCTAATTAGATTAAGTTTACATAGATAGAATCAAGTCATAAAAACATCAAAAATGCACTTGTCTCAACAATGGGCTCGCCTTCATTGATATCTTTGTCATTTTCACTAGGGGTGGGTGTCATCGTATTGATGTGTATATTTAAATTATTTTTTTTATGATTTAGTTTTGTATATTTATGATTTAATTCTGTATATGTAGATATTATGTGATTAATTTCTTAGAAAAATGGAAGTGTTGGTAAGGGTACCTTGAATACTGAAACATAGAGTTGATATCTGCTGTTGCCTTTTCCAAGATGGATTGATTCCAAAGCTCCATTTTCATTGTTTAGCTCAAATTCAGTGTTATTTGTTTCTGAGTTGAACCCAAAAAACTGGAAAATAGAATAGGAAATTCACTTGACCCACAAAAAAAAGAGGGAGATTGTAAAGTTTTTGTCTCATACCATGTTTGCATGTGTGCTTTTTTTCTTCCCACGACTCTTCTTCTGTCTTTTGGAGAAAGAATAAGATTTTGAGTGGCCGATGGGTGTAGTGGCAAAAGCAGAAAATGAAAAAGTTTTCTCCACCCAAAGGGATCTTTGCTGGATGACTGTGAAGTCTTTGTTTTATGTAATGGTTGCTTGCTTCTCTCTCTCTCTCTCTCTCCCTCTTCCTTATCTTTAGATACACAAAATATTATGATTTATTTGAGTGGAGAAGATGAGTCTGTCCGTTGTCCACCCAAATAATGCCTCCATGATTGAGATTTTGACCTTAACTAAGCAAACAAAATTCCTCTACGCTGGATTTGTACTATTGAGGACCACAATGTACACGTGTGTCTGGACCCACCCACACAAACATCTCCTTACCTAACTGTTAACCCTTGTTCAATCATCGCCATCCAACTTAGATCAGACGGTTGCAATATGTTATACCCTGATCATGCATGCATGTGACCTACCTTCACAGACATTCTTTTCTTCTCCTCCTTCATTATACTTAACGGTAAACAAGAGACCAAACAATGACTTCCAAAGTCATAATTAGATTGTGTTTGGATGGAGTGATTTGTGGTAGAATAAAAGGGGCAAATTTTACTCTCGCCCACTGGTGGTGAGCTCATGTGCACATAATTTTTATTTTATCTGAAAATAAATTAAAATACATAAGTAATTTCATTATGCTAATCATAAACATTTTTTGTCATTTTTTAGAAAGCAAAATTCACTTCGACCTCCATGCTTATTTCATATGCAGTTTGTTTCTAATTGTTTTTGTCACTTGAACAAAAAGCTTGACGATTCATTGTAATTCGTAAACTGCATGAATTATTTGCTTATGTCAAATGACAAGGTATATTGCATATAAATTAAACCATAAAATAAAATGAAATTTGCTACACACACCAAAAGAAAAAAGAAAATAATTTTTTTTCCTCACTTTTTTCTGCAATCCAAATCAAAACACAATTAAATGTCTCTGTATGTAATCAAATCACTGTACGTGCATGGGACCTTCAACTCTTTCCATGACAAATAATCATTTTGGATTCCTAAGTACATGTTAAGGGTTTGACTTTTTTTAAATTGTTGTCTTAATTTGAGAGAGTGTTTGGATTTAATAGACGCATTTTAAAATTGATTCTGGTGATAAGAACCATTCATATTTTTTGAATTCGTTAACTAGAATATTTATACAAAAAATAAAGATAATTAGATATTAGTAGTTATATAGTTGAATCGTATTTATTTTTAAAAAAATGGACAACAAATATAATTTAAAAAATAATCATTCATTTTTTGCAATACAAATTTAACGCAACCATGTACAAGCGTCGATGTCCGATCATTTAGATTTTTTGGATGAATATTCTACTTAATGAGTTTTAAAAAGTAAACGACTCAAATCATCAAAACGGAATGTTGTAGTCTCCACGACCCCTTAAATTCTCTTATACTGAACATGAAACAAGCCTAACCCTAACATTAACATTACAAATATCTTTCTAAATCTGTTCAAGGAATAGCATGACCACTGTGTCCTGAGATGTGATTGTTTTCTTCTAGCAATCTTGTTTATGAATTATGGAGAGAAAAAAAAAAAAAATCATATAATGTAAAAATTATCATTTTTTTTAATAACAGAAGACATACATAGTATTTCTCATGTAATAATCGGAGGTGATCACACGCTTATATATCTAATGACTACATCATTAAACAGTAGTATGATTGGATGGAAGATATTGTTGCTAGGAAAGGTAGGAAATCGTGTACTCTGTCGCCAAAATTTAATTTTTTTTTTCTTCTCCTCAATTTACTCTAAAATTAGGAATCCATAGGTATGTTATTTTGTCATGTAATTTTTTAATAGAATTATGATGATTTGTAATTTAAAAATAAAATTACATAATTTCATAGTAGTGTTATACATATTTTTTTTTTTTGAATTTCAAATATCATTGTTTATCATAAAATTACATGTTACAAAAATTCATAACATAATACAAATTAAAAAAATAAGTAATAAAGTATATATGATATATATCCTTTTTAAGAATTGTGTTCAAAGAATTTTTAAAAATTCTTTCTGTGAAAGAAAGGATGCAACACTTTCAACAATTAAAACTATGATATTGGCCCCGTTTGGTGTAACTGTGAAAAAATGATTATAGATTATAACTTAGCAAATTATAACTTATGACTTTATATATATATATATATAAGCTGTTAACTTATTTGGTGTAACTGTGGTAATATAAATTTAATCAGCAAAGTAATGTTTAGTTGAATAAGCTATAAAATAGCTTTTTACTGTGTAAATGTCTTTTTTATCCTTATAAGATTTGTGATTTCATTTATAATACTTTTTTTACTTTTTCTTCATTTTAGTTTATTTTATTTTCTTTTTCTCCTTATTTTCTTTTCTCTTCTTTCTTTTCTTTTTTCTTGTCTTCTTTTTGCTGTTAATTTTTTTTTAATTTATTAATTCATTAAAATTAATACCAATTAATATTCATGTTCTAATTTATATTAATGTTGTGATTTCATTACATATTATTATTTTTATATTCATTTTAATTATTTATTTATGTATTTATTTTCTTTATTATTATTATTATTATTATTATTATTATTATTATTATTATTATTATTATTATTAATTGTGATATTTTTTCATTACAATACCAATTAATAATATAAAATTAATTTTTTAAATTTATTAATTCATTACAATAATACCAATTAATTCATTTTCTAACCCATCGTCGGCAATCCCTTCTCACCCATCGCCGACAGCCTCCTCCTCATCCACAGTCGGCAGCCCCTTCTTCTCATCCTCCTCCTCCTCCTCCTCATCATCATCTCATCGCTAGCAACCCCTTGCAAAACCCTAGCCGCAATCACGAAGAGAGAGAGCTAGGGTTTTGTCACGGTGTCAATTGTGAAGAGGGAGAGAGAGCTAGGGTTTGTCACGCTGTCGATTGTGAAGAGAGAGAGAGCGAACTAGGGTTTTGTCACACGATTGTCACCGTCAAGTTATCTCGCGACATCAGAGATCGCGAAAGGAGAGAGAGAGAGAGCGCTCTGGTTCATCGAAAATCACTTCTCTTCGCCAGAAATCGCCTTTCTGGTTCGTGTGAGAGACAGAAATGAGTGTGTTTGGTTTATATACATGGCACACTTGTAATAATTTGAAATTGTGAGGGGCATTTAAGTCATTTTGTCCCTCAAATTCTAGCTGTGCGCTTAAGCTGAATTTGAAAAGCACCTCCTCCCCCACTCAAAGAATAATTACCTTTTTGACTTAATTTAAGCTAAAAGCTGATCACTTGAGTTACACCAAACACACAAAAATCACTTAATTTAAGTTAAAAGCTAAAATAAACTGGATTTAAACTCTACCAAACATCCACATTATGTTAAATATTCAATTATATCAAATAGTCAAGAGTGTAAGTTAATAATGCATTAGGTACAGAAAGGATGAGAACAATATTGTGATAAAGATGCTGTCAAGAGAAGATGATAGTAAGTATGAAATTAATGATCGTTTAGATAGTTGTTAAGAAATTTAAAATTAAATTGATAGAAAAATAATAGAATAAGTGACGGTTAAATTTGTACGGTTAAGTTATATTAATGGTTATTATATATTACTGTGGTAAGAATATAGATTTGGGATGTGACTTAGATCTATTTTAGGAAGTAGGTTAAAAATTAATTTTTAATTTTTTTGATTTTTTTTGAAAAAATGTGCAAAAACATAAAGAGGTAATGTGATTAAAAAAAGCTAAAAAGTTAAAAAACTGACTTTTAACCATGTTGCCAAAATAAGTCTTAGTGGGTGCAGCTTGAGGCATGGACAATTCCTCGAAATCTCAAGTTTAACTCTCATTAAGTATTTTCAACTCATTGAAATTACATCTGAGCGATATGCTTGAGATTTGTCTGATCTACTTAGAGAAGGCGCTTTGCATAAGTTTCGAAATTAGTTGAGACACATAAATTAGTCTGAACTATGGGTAACAAAAGCAAAAAAGAAAAGGAATACAATAAAAAACATGCTAATATAGAAATCATGGTACCGACCCTTGTTTGGGGCTATAAATTTCTTTCATACATACAAAAAGATAAAAAAAACATAATCATATAAACTAATCATTCAAATATTGCATAGATAGAATAGAGATAAACATAAAACACTTAAAAACAACAAATGGATAGATTGGTAAACCCAGTGTCCGAGACTACAAAAGGAATAAAACACCTCTTCCAACTTAGTTTGCGTGCAAAAAGAGAGCATAGAAACTCTGAATCTGAAAGTGGTGTTGTGTTATGTTGTAGCAGTTAAAATTTTATAATTAAGATTCTTCTCGTATTAGGTGTACCTATTTTGAACGAATTTACAGTGTAGATGTGGGATAAGTAGTGAGTTTTTACACGTTGAGTAGATTTTGATTTGTTTTTTAGTTTATATTTATATCTCATTTTATCTAACATATGTGAAATTTATTATTTATTTTACAGAAAATAATATACAATTTTACTTTTTATACTAAGTGATATTTAAAAATAAAAAATTAATTGATAATTAAAAAATATATAATAGAAAGAGTTAATTTAGATATTCCAATAGACTATTAGATCATTAAGAGTTTAAAAAGTAAGGGGTTGTTTGGGATGACCTAAATAAGTATACTTTTTTATTTTTTTACGGAAAGATGTGCAGAAAAGTAGAGAGGTGATATGATAGAAAAAATATAAAAAGATAAAAAAATGAATTATTTTTGGATTACCAAACTTGACCTAAGTCTAACTTTTATGCTAGAGCAGCACCACAGTACTCTTTAATTCACATTTATATCATATTATATAAAAAAAAATTGTATTTATAATACATAGGCATTAAAATAATTTGATTTTGTGTAAACGAGAAGATACACTCATGACTTCACAAAGATCTTTCTTAAGCAGTAGGATACAATGACGCATGCTCTTTTTTTAAATTTTTTTTAAAAAAAATAGAAATAAAATGATCACATTATAATTAGGTTAATTGAATATTTCAAATCAGCATAATAAACTTATCTTTACTAACCATCCAAACATAATAAACTTTGTATCTTCCAAAATCAGTACAAGGACTCACAAATTACAACTTTTAAAATCAAAACATCATTGGATATTTAAGTAAAATTCATTAAAATTGTTATTAAAAATCTTACTTAAAAATATATGTATTCAAACATCATTAGTTTGATTTTGAGTGAGAATATTTATGTCTATAGAATTATTATTTAAAATCAATCATGTTATTATTATTATTTTATTAAATTAGTATTTTACATACTGACAACGAGGATGATTACTTTCCAAATATGCTGAAGCAATGAACTTGCAATATCTCATCAGCACATACAGCAAACATCTCATCTCATTTTTTATTTTTTTATTTATCTCCATCTCATTGGTCTTTTTGTCACCACCACACCCCCTCTCCTTCACATATTAAAAATAAAAAATAAAAAAATTATAAATAATATATAATTGTTGCACTGTACGCGAAAGACTGTTTATGCCCAACTACACATTGACAGGACTCTCTCTCTCTCTCTCTCTCTCCACTGTTTCCTAATCTCCTTATCCCTCTCTGTCTCTCTTTCCCATAGACTTTGCCAATATCCATATCCCAAACAACAGCTAAACATCAAAGAAAATTAATAATCCCATCAACTTAGAATCAGATCTTTGTTGTTATTTACACCATCTTTGATTGAGAGCTATGAGCACCACCCAACACCACCACCACCACCACCACAAGATGAGAGGCAAAGTTGAAGATCAGCCAGCAGCAGCAGCAGCAGCAGCACCACCATCATCTACTGCCTCGCCACCCTCAGCCTCCTCCTCTCCTGCACATGAATTCTCCTTCACAATCTCCCTCCACCAACCACCACAGTCCTCGACAAACCCCGAAAAAGCCAAATCGCTTCCTTCAATCGCCGCCGTGGATTTATCTCCGGCGGACGAGATATTCTTCCACGGCCACCTCCTCCCTCTCCACCTCCTCTCCCACCTCCCTGTCTCTCCTCGCTCCTCCACCAATTCTCTCGACAGTTTCACACTTCCCAGAGAAATACTAGAAAACAACAACAACAATAGTACTACTACAATCAACAACAACAATGGCGAAACAAAGGAGAGAGAAAGAGAAAGAGAAAGACCCAAGTCATCGAAATCATCGTTCTCGTTGTTCGGGCTATCGAAATGGCGAAAAGGGTTGGATGTTAGAGAAAAAGAAGAAGAGAAAGAGAAGAGCAAGAGGAAGCTAAGGTTCGATGTGAGTCATGTAGTGAAGAGGTACATGAGAATGGTTAGGCCTATGTTGTTTTTCAGAGGGAGGAGAGAGAGTAATATACAGTTAAGGAGACAACCTTATTCGTTTTCGGGGAATTTGATGAGTCCGAGAGGGAACAAGCAGGAGTTGTTGAGAGGGAGGAGAGGGGAGTACTCGGCACCGGCATCGATGAGGACTTCGCCGACCAACAGCGGTCTTCTGGTGGCGACGGGGGCCGTTCAGAATTCGACGAGTGATAGCACCATGGAAGAGTTGCAGGCTGCGATTCAAGCTGCCATTGCTCATTGCAAGAATTCCATTGCAATGGAAGACAAAATCAAATGCTAATCATGGTTAGGTTCACCAATTCGGAATGTTATACACAAATGAATTTCTTATCTAATTTTCTTAAAAGCATACATAAAGTAATAAGTTAATTAGATGATTTATGTATGAGATTTTAATTTTAATTTTTTTTTAAAAAAAAATCTCGTGTATAGAAATGGAATTTGAGTGTATAGTTGTAGTATTAAAAGGAGTTTGAAAATGAAGGTGGGTCATGGGTTTAGAGGTACTAAATTCAACAAAATTTGTCAATTTCTACGAGCCTCGTTGTGTTTTCTATATGTGATTGCGCTGGTGACTTTTGAATTTTTTGAATGTGGAATGTTGAAGATTTCAAAGAATTTTTTCTCTATTCAATTGTGTCATGGGGAGCTTGAAAATGAATGTTTCTATTTTATGCTTTAAAATATGAAAAATGTTATTTACATCATTTTTCATTAGAATAATGTGGTTGCGGTATTTTTGTAATTAAATATTAGTTAAATAAATAATTTATTTAAAAATAATAAGTCACATTGAAACCGCATATTGTTACGAGGAATCACGTCTCAATGGAATAGAAATCTCAATGGAATAGAAATAAATTTAAAAAAAAAATTACAAACACATAGAGGGCTACAACTTTGAGTTGCACCTCACCACACAAGGAGTTGCACCTCCCATATTTTACAAAAAAAATTTTGATCTTCCATACCCTGCATTGTTATTTCTCCATATTTTTATATATAAACTGTGTCAAAAAATCTACTGAGTGTATGCACTACATGTTTTTACTCCTAAGTTGAACCTAACTAGCTATATGAGCACTGAGCAACAGCATATATGTTGAATCCAATCGAATATACAATCAACAATCTAAGGTTAGACAGGTCAATCCTCTTCTTTGCCTGATATGTCTCTTTCCTGTTTTTATACTCCTTCAATGATATGCTCTTATCATCCAGACCCGTGAACCCTAGCTAGGGTCCATATATAATCTTGCAAACCTGTAAATTCGGACTTTTTTAAAGTTTGGTATATTCACCTCTCTTGAGAATTAAATGGTGGGTTGATATTGAAATAAACAACAACAAATACATATTTTAATAAAAAAATATGACAATAATTTTTTTCTATTTATATGACTAATGAATTATTGATAAAAAAAAAAATCTAATTGTCATGTAAATTAAAATCTCAAAAGAGACCAATGTAATTATTTTAAAAATATGAGGCTAATTACATTTTTTTTAATGTTTAATACCTATATGAGGCTAATTATGTTAAATATAATTTAATTTTTGAAGTTGAATACCTATAAACTGTGAAAAATTACAAATATTTAGATTTTATTGTGCAGAGTGGGTCCAAGGAGCCCCACACCAGTAAATATTTGATATAAAATTGTAAATTAATGGGAAAAAGTGAAATACATGCAAAAATATGTACTCGCAAATGATTCTATATTCTAGTTACTTGCGCCAAATTATAAAAAGGATTTTTTTTAAGGTTCTTGATATTAAAATTATATACTATAAATGATATTTAATATTTTAATAATATTTAAGGTCTCTTAAATTGATTTAGAGAAAATTCGACTTCACAGAGAAAATTAGTCTAGAGAAATTCTGGAAAGAATTTCTTTGGACTTTCTAGAGAAATTTAATTTCTCTGACCTTCCCTAGACTTCCCATTGTAAATTTTTCTGGCCTTTCCTTCTCTTCAGAGAAATTTCCCTTCTCTCCAGAGAAATTTTTTTCGCTGGCCTTCCTTATACTTCCCACTCTCTAGAGAAATTTCAAATTTCTTTGGCCTTCCCGGGCTGCCCACAAAATTACCTCTCTAGAGAAATTTTGGAAATTTCTCTGGCCTCTCTAGACTCAATGTGTTGCAGGTAATGTAGTCTTTCTTTCTCACTTCCACCACCGAATCTTTGTTTCCATCGTAATTCCACATTGTTGCATTGCATTAGAGAGAGCTTTTAAAATCAATAGAAACAGACCCAGAGACAAAGACGAATTAAGAATGGAAATGAAGATGAAGGATTGAATTACTGAGAGAATCACCAATGAAGAAGCGAGAGTTTTAAGCCCATAGATTGAGAGACTCAGATTCAGACGAAGAAGAAGACCATAGCTCGAACTCACCCATCAATGGCGTACGTATCAAATTTCTCTGGGTTCATTTTGACTAATTTTTTCTGGGTTCAAATTCTAAAAATATTTCTCTAGGTTTATTTATAAACTAGAGAAAATTTAAATTTCTCTGGGTTCATTTTAACCAATTTTCTCTGGATCGTAAAGACATAATATTACTTTATGAAATCCAGAGAAATTCCCGAATATATCTTCAAAAAACCAATCATCACATAAATTTATTCTAACAACTGTTAATAAGTTAAAACAAACCAAAAAGATCAAATCTGAACACGACTGGAATTACCTACTACAATATTCACCATTGATCAAATGACCCACAAATTTATTAACTAAAAAGTTTTACAAAAATTTAAGCACTTACCACTCAAATCCAGTTCAACTACATCGATCTTCAGAGGATCCAGTGAGAGAAGGCCTGCTGGTGGATCGACTGATGCCCCTCATGTCAAAGGTGACAACTATGAAGCCTCTGTCGGCAAGACCACGAGTCATGCCGTTCATCAGACCATGACTACCTCCCAGTACAGAGTATGGATGAACTAGCACAATTCTCCAATTCCCCCTTTTCACTCTCCTCCTCCTCCTCCTCTTGCTTATTTCTTGGTCTGAAGATCAGAGCGTTCAACTTTACGCCATCGCTGCTCTCAATTGTGGTACTTTCTCTCAACATCACCAACAAGGAGAGTCAGTTCTAGAGACAGAGTGTGTGTGTGTGTGTGTGTGTGTGAGAGAGGCAGAGTGAGTGCAGAGATTTGGAGAAGGAAGGAAGAGTTGGTAGACACTTTTCTTCTCTGGACTTCATAGAGAAAAGAGAGGATGAGAAGAGAGAAGAAGAGGAGAGAGAGAGATCTAGGGAAGGAGAGAGAAAGATCTAGGGTTTTGAACTGGTAGTGGAGATCGACGAGAGAGAGAAGAGCAGCGGGAGAGAGATATTAAATTTCTCTGTGAGGGACTTTAGATATCAAACAATAATATTGTGGATCTCTTTCATTATCAAAAATAAGATAGGGACCTTAGACTAATTTTTTCAATTACAAATTCCATTTATATATATATATATATATATTTGTAATTATTTCTATTTCTTTACACTGATTTATTTAGTATATGATCAGCTTTTACAATAGAATAAAGCTTCAGACCCCCAGTGGGGGTGCTGGGGGTCTGTTGTGATTGGCCTAAAAAAATAGTTTTTTTTTTTTGAGCCAATAACAAGCTGACACGTCACTGGGGGTCTGACTGGGGTCGCTCTCACTGGGGGTCGGAAGCATTTTTGTTTACAATAACTGATTAAATAGTACTAGTAAGATGATGAACAATCGCTTGTCTTGTCAAAGAGCATAGGTTAATAGACCCCCCCAAAAAAAAATGAAGAAGAAAAAAAAAAACAAAGAAAAACAGTGATGAAACCATTTATGGTGGTGAGGCAAATGCTAGAAGCTGATAAAAGTTAATTGTTACATATCCATGCAACTCCTAAGCAGAGCTCTGTGGGTCTCTCATGAAAGTTGATGATGGCCATGGAAATATTTTTTAGAAAGCAAACACAAGTACACCAATAATGCATTGGGTACTTGGTCTATTTTTCACAACATGATTATCACTTATTGGTTGCTGATGTGGATTTAATTTTAAACTTTATAATAGTAATTGTTATTATTTGTGCAATTAAATTGATGAGACTAGAAGAGTCTTTTCTCTTTTAGGAACACATTGGTCCTTGATTATTAAATAATTGTCTCATAAAAAAACACTTAATTTTTGTCTTCATTAGGCAAAGTTATAATGAAGTATTCTATACTTTAAAAACTACCTCAACTGTCCTTCCTCAAATGTACACTCTTATTTCTCTATCTCTTGTGAAGGGCTGTTTTGACATTTACACAAAAGTCGTATAATAAAAATTTAATAATAAATAATGAAGTGTTTTAATAAATTTAATAATAATAATATAATTGTTGTGCTATATGAAAAGCCGCCACTCACATGAAAGTGGGCTTTCTTGTTTTCTGGGTTTGAACATTGAAGTGTGTTTGAATATTTTTAAACCATGTCACTTAGCACTACTAGTTTAAAAGGGTACCAATGTCACTTGGCACTAAGTAAAAAGGGCACTACATAGCAAAAACAATTCTCCCTTACAAGTTACAAACATGCCTTGTCGGAATTATTTCATGGGTAAGTGGTGCAAAAGTAGAATTTGTGCACTAAAATTGTTTTTATTTTATTTTATTTTTTTTATAATAATTTTGCCGATTCTTAAAAATGCATAAAGATAGAGAAATTCACTACTAGAGATTAATATTATTCAATCAAGAAAAAAAAAAAACCAAAATTAGTAAATTTGAGATAAATTTGAAATTGGATATTTGGAAGTAGTAGAAACTTTCTAGAACAAACAGCTCCAAAAACAAAAAAATGACTGCTATTTATCATCAGAATATTTTGCCTCTTATGCAGTTTTTCACGTGGCTGAGTAAATACCATTTTTTTAAAAATATAGTTAATCCTATATACATATGACTTTTATTGCAGGAATCTACACGTAATTGAAGATGAAATAAATTTAGTGACAAATAACATGCCAAAGTAAGGTTCTGAAAAGCGGTTGCGGTCGCCGTAACGGTGGAGGTGGCGCAGTTACGGTTGCATGGTGTAAAGACCGTAGCATAACGGTTGTGATAACCGGAACCGTGAATTTTTTTATTTTTCGCACAATTTGAAAAAAACTTACCGATAGGCACATTTTTTTTCCATGATCATATTTATTTGGTTTTAAAATAAATATTGATCAATTTTTATAAATTTTTAAGTTTGAGCCAATATATTTCATATTTTTAAATCACTATAAATTGAGTTTTTTACATTTTATTTTAATAATTAATGACTTTACATTTTACAAAAAATAATCACTAACTATTATATATAAGATAAACAATGACAAAAGTAAGAGAATAAATAAAAGTCTAAATATATATATATATATATTAATCAAGCTAAATAGATAATGACAACACTTATTATTATTATTATTTTCAAACAATATATAAATAGACACACACAAACAAAATGGTTGAGTGATAATATCTGAATAGAATAGCATAGGTCTTACAACTTCAACAAATCAATAACATGTTCTTCATCTTCCCTATTCTCTCTCTCTATCTCTTATTCCTCCATCTTTCCTCTTCTCTCTCTATCTCTCTTCCCCCCA